CACATACATATGATATGCCAATTGTGTGTGACTGACCAACTTGTATTCTATAGATTCTACATCCACATCCATATGATATACCAATTGTGTGTGACTGACCAACTTGTATTCTATAGATTCTACATCCACATACAGAAATTTAACTACTCTATAAAATAGAGATTTCAAGAGTTTCTACAGTTCTCTCTTGTCACAAAAAACTAAATTTACTCTGTTTAACTTGTACTTGCTGGAAGACAGTCAGTGCTTATGCTTTTATGTGCATATAAAATACCACAAACTAGCATGTCATTATGTTTCTAATTATCCTTTCACTGATGTAAAATGATAATATAAATAGAAACACGAGCAGCTTTTGAATAAAGGAGTTGATAATAAAAAATAAATTGGTGTATTTTAATATAAATGACAACTAGATAATTAACTACCTTATTTTACATGCTTAAAAATATCAGAACTTGAATTGTTCCACATACTCACCCTATGTTCTGGTATTATAGTAATAATAACTCCTGCGACATGGCGTGAAGAAAGAGCTTTGGTGCTTCAGAAATTAGGGGCACTTCATGTGTCAGGTAGTCCAAGTACCCAAGTTGGCCAATCTTCCCAAGTTCAAAAAAGTGATGTGAATAAGAGCACAGCTAGAAAAGGAGAAAATGATTCAACTGATAAACACAAAGGTGAAGATGTTTTTGATGTTTTGTACAGAATGTATTCACAGTGTTTTCTTACAGTATTTATTATGAGTTAAAAGTTATAACTATTAGATATTTTCCATCCTGCTCTAGGATGAGAGAAATAAGTATATAACAATTGACTAGCATGTGAGTTATTTCACTGTGACATTTGAGTGAAATACTTTTGCTTATGCTTATTAACTTATAAACATTGTGTGGTTTTGCTATATTATAGAAAAGATTCATATAAGAGAATGTATAAACTTGCTATACATGAAAACACTTGTTAAACTTTTTTGTGGAAGCTGACAAGACTTAACTAATCAGAGTTGATGTAACCTTCCTACATATGTGAATGTAACTTGTAATAGCTGAGTATAGGCACCAGAACATTATAAACTTTTTACAACTAATAAAAAAGCTAACTTGAAATCTATTCCTCTCTGATAAGCAAGAATCTAAAAGTTTAACTTAAAAAGAGTTTGGCCTCTGTTTATGAATGAGTAAGCTGTCTTTTACGTTGAGGCTTTGTTCATCATTGGTCCTTTTTAAGATCTTGAAATAATATGAATTTATGAACATGTCACACTCACCTCGAGTATTCTCCAATACACTTGTTTTATTTGGCTTTCTTATGTTTGCATCATTTATATGAGCAGCTTCTTACCGTAGAACCTATTTAATCTTCCTCTCAAGAAAAACAAGTGCTGAACTACATTTTGATGTTTCAATTGAAGAAATGTCATTTTTGCATCTGAACAAATACTGTAGACCAGCGTTTCCCAAACTATGGGTCGCGACCCACTGTTGGGTCACAAGCGGAATGTTAGTGGGTCGTAAAAAGTTATACTAGAATTACGCATTAGCTTCGATTAAATGCTGTCTGTCGAGATAGTTCAAGACTCGGGCTTTCATTGCCAGGCTGTTGTTGTATCAAGCAGTATGTTGTTTTGACCATCTTAATGAATCAGGGTTGACCATGCTCTCAATTTAATCATTCGTCATCGTAAAAAGGAAATCAATTTTCACCTATTCATACAGTACTTTAGCTATAGTACCGGTTTTATCAGTTGATTGCAGAATTTTAACTTTTGATTATAGATATCTATAGTTTTTTTATATTTCTAGGTATCCTTTGTAAGTAGATATCTAACCTTTAATTTTAACTTTTTGCAGAATTTTAACTTTTGATTGAAATAGCATAGGCGTAGGAGCCGGGTGCGCATTATATCTACATATAATCAAAGGATACCTAGAAATATAAAAAAAAAACTATAGATATCTATAATGAAAAGTTAAAATTCTGCAATCAACTGATAAAACCGGTACTATAGCTAAAGTACTGTATGAATAGGTGAAAATTGATTTCCTTTTTTACGATGACGAATGATTAAATTGAG